TAAACGACTTCTCACTCCGAGGAATTGGCCACATTATATAACCTTACAGTTTCTCGCGAGAGTAGGCCCTATCGATGTGATTGGGCTATTTATTGTACAGACCCAGAGTTAGTTTTTGTAATAGACACAATAGCATAAACCTGTAAGCACTGAGGTGAAATCTGACTTCAGAACAGTTTAAAATTATGTAATTGACTTGGGAAAGCCACAGTAAAAGACGGTGTTACTAGATGCAATGTGACATTATCGTACATTTGAGGATTTTTGAAACTATTGATCGTACATCGTACAGAGCCCAAAATTATGGTACAAATACGATAATTATCGTACATCTGGCTACACTGAATGGTGGAGAGTCCCAGATTTAAACCCAGTGGGAGTTTCCCCCCGAATAGGGAACAAAAGACCCCCTGATGATCTTCTACATAAACACATGAGCCAAGGTGTGAGGGTGGGTGTGGGTTCTATAGACCCTTTTACTACCTACGTCATCAAAAGTTGCGCGTGCAGCCTGGCAACGAGAGCGAAGGCTTCCTCATTCACACTCAATACTAAAACAGCGTTTTAAACCCTTTGTTTTGAAGTTCTGAGCACATAAAAATGTCGGGTTGTTGCGTGTATGGATGCCAGAATCGCTTCTCTTCAAGCAGTGGACTGAAACTTTACAGAATTCCGAAGGGAGCACATCCATTTCAACAAAATCGGAGGCGCCTGTGGCTGCAGGCCATCAAAAGGGTTGATGAAAACTGGACTGAAAACACGATCCGAAATGCTTGAGTTTGTAGCGCCCATTTTATATTAATTATATTAATTAATTATGTACTAAGATTACACCAGAAAGCTGGTTAACGTGTGTTCTATTACATAAAGTAAGTTGCGTTTGCTGGTTTGGTTTTAAGCCGTTTATTTATTTACAGGCGAGGTGTCATTGGACTCCTCGAGTCCTGATTTTGTTATTTAATTAAGAAATAATACATTCAATGTGCAACCACAAACCAGAACTTAGATTACACTTGTCATTCGTTACATGCCTCTTAGTGTGACACTGCTCCTTCTAACAGTTTCGGAAGCAGCTGGGAGCTGTATGCAAAACTTCTTCGGTTTGTGGAAACTGATCTTCAGTTCTCCGGGAGTCTGTTGCCGTTCGTTAAAGTGATTTTAATAATATAACATTCAAGATTTGTCGGTGATAACCCCGCAGCGTAGCTTGATAAAGCCTGAAACAACGCCATTCTCTGTTGCCAAGCTGCGCGCATTCTCGCTGACATCATATTGTTTACAAACAGTAAAAGGGTCTATTCAGCCAGAGTTTCGGGTGAGCTCATTGTGAAGCCTGGCCCCACCCTATCATGTGAATTCCTGAGGTCAGATGGCCCAGGATATGCGTGGCCGTTGAGGCATCTGGGAAGGGATCTCAAAACTGGATTATAGATGGCAGACAGTTGGTGTCGTAAACCACCGCCTCTGTTCAAAGATGGTTGCTCACAGTGGACATAAATGGCTTCCTTTACTCCTCTTTCAAACCATCTGTCCTCTCTGTCCAAAATGTGAACGTTGGCATCCTCGAAAGAGTGACCTTTGTCCTTTAGATGCAAATGAACTGCTGAGTCCTGTCCCGTGGAGGTGGCTCTTCTATGTTGTGCCATGCGCTTGTGAAGTGGCTGTTTGGTTTCTCTGATGTAGAGGTCTGGGCATTCCTCGCTGCAGCATACACCACATTGTTCAGTTTGTGTTTAGGAGTTTTGTCTTTAGGGTGAACCAGTTTCTGTCTGAGTGTGTTGCTGGGTCTGAAGTACACTGGTATGTTGTGTTTGGAGAAAACCCTCCTGAGTTTCTCTGATACACCGGCTACATAGGGGATGACAAGGTTGTTGCGTCTGTCTTTCTTATCCTCCCTCGCTGGTGTCTGGTCTTCTTTTCTGTGCATCTTTGCTGACTTTATAAACGCCCACTTAGGATAGCCACATGTTTTAAGTGATTCCTTTATATGAGTGTGTTCCTTCTTTTTCCCTTCCGGCTTAGAGGGAACATATCCTAGTTCACCGCAACGAATCACAACACTGATTCAGAGACGTGCTAAGTTTGTCATCCAAAATGCTCCAATTTATAACTTTGGAATGGCTGATCAGATTCAAAAAATTCCAACGGGTTCCTAAAGGTACATAAAAGCACCTTTCCAACGATCTATAGCATGAAGCAATCAGAGTTATGGAAAATATCGCTACGAGGGGAAATCCTGCTGTACCTACAGCCTGAATGAAACGGAGCGCAACGCGGTGAAAGCGGATAACGGGACAGGGCTGCTAATTAGCATAAAAACCAGCATGAAAATATGGAAATGCCTCAAAGAAAATCAACACAATCCATTAGGTGTCCCAGAAGGCTTATATCTGAAGATAGTGACCACGAAGAAGGACATATCTCCGGTGAACCAGGATATGAACGTTTGTACAGTCTTTATTTTTTTGTTATTTTGAACAACCCTCAACTATTTGCTAATTGTAAGATTCAGCTTCATTCCAGCATTATTTATCTTTTTACAATAGATAATTATTTTTGCTAAAACAAAAGTAAAAATGCTAAAAAAGATACCAAGGTTCACACTTTTTTAAGAATAGATGCGTTACAGTTTAAAGTTTAAATTGTTTGCCCAGTAAATTTGAAGTTCCTATTCAGTAATAAATGTAAAAAATTCAAATCTGTTTTTTGCTTTTTTCACTTTTAAGCTGATTTTAAAAGGCTTTAATAGAAATAAATTCTAAATACAAACCATACACTAAAAGCTGAGGTTGCTCTGAAAAAAGGAGAGTGTTACACACACTTTGCGCTTTTTATTACAATTTTACAGCCATAAGATTAAAAAAATACCAGGCGGCCCTGTTATAATTATGGTCATAAGAGGGTTATTAAGACGGTGATGCACAAACAGGAAGTGATTGGTAGTCATTCCACTCCAATCCAGTTGGTGGCAGTAATGCACCAAATTGTTGTTTGCCAAGTGCCATAAGACCACAAATAATAAGAAGAGAGGCGGGAGCGTTCGCAACAAACTCAAAGTGATTAAGCATGAAATGGAGTTATCCTAGTGGCTCCAATAAGAGAAAGAAGCAGCGTGCTCCATAAAAGCTTTTATTTTCACTTCTGAAAGTGACGTCGTTTTTCGATGTAAACATCAAAAGGAAGCAGAAAGGAAAGACAATGGAAAATGTTTCAAGGGAGGAAAACATAGACTAAAATGGAAAATAGAAAAAAATAACTAAGGCAAAAGCACAGGAGCACTGACAGGAAAAAGAAAGCACAGCAAATATTGAAAACGCTCAAAGGGAGGGAAATACAGGAAAAAGAAGAGGACTAATAAAGAGGGAAAATAACTCATGTCAGAAGAGGGGAGAGTTTTGCAAATCCAGTTAAAGCTAAGATTGTCGAAAATTTAGTGTAAGGGGCCCCATGTCTGTGTTCGCCTTGGGCCCCCCTAATAGCTAAATCTGCCCCTGACCAGTGATGTCACAGAGTGGTAATGTTGCACTTAAGTTATATTCTATATTGCATGTTTTACTTGTTTTTATTCTGATGTGCATGTTTTTATTGATGGTGTGTTTTTAGTTTGTTTGGTGCAACATTGTGTGTTCATTCTGTGTAATCACCCCGATCATCTACACCTGTGACAGAGTGTTGCCTGGACTGCCAATTAATGAACAGATGCACGCAGGGCAGGTTTTATTTAAAGAGAGGAACGCGTGGACCAGACGGGGACACAGACAGCCAGGATGGCAGACAGAGCCAGTTAAGAGGCAGAGACGCACCCCGGACGGTGTCTTGAGGACACATATGCCTGAACCCCCAACCACCCCCCTCCCCACCCAACCCCAACCCCCTCCCCCCGCCCGAACAGAGGAGCACCCTGAATACGGTCCTGGAGGATAGACGGCGGTCTAGTGCGGAGGAGCGTGGGTGCCCCTCTCTCCACACATGTGCGGCGCGCGTACAGGTACCACTGAGTCCGGTCGGAGTCTTGGACCAGCAGCAGCGGAGAGCGAGATCCGCGGCCAGGGAAGCCAGGGCACGGAGCGCAACACGGCAGGCGGGCAGAGTTACTCTGCCCCTGCGCGTAAGGAATTGAGCAGTGCCTGGCAGGGTTTGGAGTTTGCTGTCTCCGTCTGGTCTGGTGTCGGGGACCTTTTTACTGCCGGAGTTTTTGTGTGCCACAGGGGAAGGGCCGAGGAGGAGGATTGGATCCACCGTGCGGCGAGCCTGTGGTTCCCCAAGGACGACGCGCACCGCAGGAGGGCGGGGTCGTAAAGGCTTCCCTGTCGAGCTCACGCATGGCTGGACTGGACTGCTTTGTTCCCTGAGGCCCAGCACAGACTTTATTTAGGAGTTCATTTTGGGCATCATCATCACGAGCTTCGGAATAAATTCCTTTTTTAAATTTGCTTTGGCTGTCGCACTGCTTGCCTTGTTTAAGAACCTATTTAAATCCGTTTAATATTAGTGGCACCATTCATCCAATCCACCTCGATCGTGTCACAGTTAAAAAAGAATTTTTTTAAATTATGACTGGTACCTGCCAGCCCTGAAAGAAGCAAGTTAGTTCTGTTAGATCTTTAAGCTGTGACGATTCACACACGGAGGTGACGCCAGGTGTTGTGAGAAATTGTGTTCCCCTAAAATATTCTGTCACCTCATGTTGGGAGGTCGCACTTCAGGCTGTCTTCACATTTGTGATAGACTTTTATGGGAAAACGATGTAATGTAATTAAATAATGTCATGCTAGTGATGTTTTTATAGCTATATGTCCTCCTAAGAACAATAAACAAGGTGCAGTAAAAACATTCCTGTTCACTCTTTACAAGCTTATTTATGGTTTTTGAAAGTTATGGAAAAGAATGTAATCTCACTCTGTTTAACCACCTTTTATTCGAGGTTGTTTAGTCCTTATAATCGACAATACATTTGCTCTTGATTGCCTAAGGGAAACAGAATATTTCAGGGGAACATAATTTCCCACAACACCTGTTTCACGTGGATGAGAGCAACTTGGATGTGGAAAAAGAAAGAAAATGATCATTTTTGGAGCGATCACTGGCAGTGCCATGGCTGGCTAAGGAGGATTAGCGAGCTGGTGACACACTACGGAGATCAAGTAAACAATGCTGACTTTTTGCCACCAGCTAGTATGCTGAGTAAAAACGGAGAACCAACCGAAGGAGACTTACATCCACAGTTAACATTTGAGAAGAAGCCCTCGGAGAAGCACGTCTGTAACGTGTGGAGAAATTCATCGCTGTCAGTAATGTGTTTGTGGAGATCACGTAAACAATGCGAATTTAGCCACTGGCTAGCAAACGAGCTCTGGGGTGTGTTGGGAGATGGCAGACTGCATGAACGAAGAGAACGAACGCACAAAAGAGAGGAGTATTGAGTTGAAGAACTTTGGAACTGACGCGTTGGGACTGGACTGGGAGTTCTGATACGAAGAAAAGACGAATGAGCAACTTGAGGGGATCGTAACATATACAGCTTCCGGACATGATGACAACCTTTCAAACGTTATGTGTCCTTGGATTTCATTGTTTATTATTCAAACTAACAAGTACAGCAATAGTGTAGCTAGTCTCTTCTACTTCTTAGTTGAATTATCAGACTTCATGCTTCCAGGGCGCACTGCTGCCCTCTGCTGGTTCTTTCAGGTTACAGTCATAGTCCAAACGCACAAAGCGGAGCTCGTATGTCCCAAAACAGCTACTGTATTTTAAGATGGTGGTTTACCATGGAGCGTTGAACACAGTTTATGTATTTAAAAATGTAAAATTTCAAGCTAAGAGGAATATTTAGAAATTACGTTGGTGAGAAAAGGACAAGTTTGTGAACTGGAAACACAGGGTTTATAGTAAACAGGTAAATTTATTACACACTGGAACACACTTAAGGATTTAAGCCATTTAGAAATATTTTCAATACTTGCTATATTTAAACATGGCTATTTGTGGGAAAAATAATCTGTCCTGTTTGTGCGTGTGTGCAGCGGAGAGGGACTTAAAGGGGGTCTCATCCAGGGAGTAATTCAATAGGGATCTGCCACTGCCTCCAAAAACTAACAATGTCAGATCTTTAACAATTTGGTGAGTGGGGACTCCACAAGTGAGAAGTGGTTTTATGTAAATTTCCCTTTTTATGACTAAACAAAAGAGGAAGATTTTTAACCCTTTAGCTTGTTTTAGGCATATAAATCATTAACCAAATACTGACCGAAAGTTATTGGATACATGTTTACATTCAGAGTGTATAAAGAGGCAATAGTGACCCATAAAGCAGTACAAAGTATGTAAAAAGTCAGATGTTCATAAAATGCCCTCTTTAAAGTTTATTATTCTGTATAACTCACATCTAGATTTGTTCTGGTAACACCTTGGAGAAAAGATGTCCATGGTAACATAACAATAAGGGAGGATCTTGAGCTTCTATAACAAACCTAAAGAAGACATAGATAACCAATGAAGAGATTTGGTGGGACAGCAGAGGTCTAACACTCCTCTAATGATGGTAGAAGAAGAACATGAACTCTGCTTTCCACAACTCCTCAATGACTCCTGCAAGAAAATAGAGCATTCTTATTTTGAAAATATCTTTATGTCATTTATACTTTGTTTTATTTCTCTGATCACTGTACTTCTCAACTTGCTGCTAATCATCTCAATATCTCATTTCCGGTAACTTTTTATTTTATCTTTTAATTAAACTGATTTATTGAATAGAGCTATGCAAGGACACAACCTAAATATAACCAAGTTGCAGAAAGAAAACGTTTATGTTCATTTTTAATACAAAAAAATTGTTAAGAGAGAATAAAATGAAATTTTGAATAAATAAAATAACTACAATTTTTCTCCAGGCAGCTCCAGACCTCCACCAACCTCCTCCTCCTCTCCCTGGCTGTCTCAGATTTCTTTGTGGGCTTTCTACTTTTATTTCAGATTATGCTGATAGATGGATGCTGGTATCTTGGTGACCTCATGTGTATTTTATATTTCATTTTAGATGTATTTATTACTGCTGCTTCAGTGGGAAATATGGTGCTCATATCTATTGACCGTTATGTGGCTATATGTCATCCTCTACAATATCCCACAAAAGTCACAGTGAAAAGAATTCAACTTTGTATTTCACTCTGTTGGATCTGTTCTCTTGGTTATTCCATTGTGTTTTGGAGTGATAATCTGAAACAGCCAGGCAGGTTTAGTTCCTGCTCTGGAGAGTGTATTGTTATTGTTGGCTTTATTGAACAATTTGTAAGTCTTCTTTTAACCTTTGTTATTCCCATAACTGTCATCATTCTGCTCTATCTCAGAGTGTTTGTGGTGGCTGTGTCACAGGTTCAGGCCATGCGTTCTCATGTTGCAGCTTCCTCACAAAAACATTCAGGGACAGTTATTATCCAGAAATCTGAGCTGAAAGCAGCCAGGACTCTGGGGGTTGTTGTGGTTGCGTTTTTGATGTGCCTGTGTCCATATTATTGTGTCATACTTACAGCTCAGAGCACGAAACTCAATAATTTATCAGCTTTATTTTTTGTATGTTTATTTTACTTTAATTCTTGTCTCAACCCCATGATCTATGCTCTTCTCTATCCCTGGTTTAGAAAAGCTATAAGACTTATTGTTACACTTCATGTACTGAAGTCTGGCTCAGCTGATTTCAGAATACTGTAAAGTAAAACTAAGATGATTATTAGATGCTAAAAAAAGAATAAAATCTGATGCTCATGAGTTATTCTGCAGTGTGTGTGTGTGTGTGTGTGTGTGAGAGAGAGAGAGACCACTGTCCAACCAGAGTCCCATTTCCTCAGGAGGTGTTTGGGGTTATCTAGGTTGGACCAGTGCCACCCTAACAGCAAGCTTGGACATCCACGTGACCCCTTGCTGAGGGCAGAACCTAAGGGCCAGAATATACTTGCTTATAATCATGCGTACAAGTGTGTATCATGGTTACCTTGTGTAAACTGCATTTGTTTGAAGTGTTTGTGCGCAACATTACTGCCACACATTGACAAGCTGCAATGTGTGAGGGGGAATTGACAAAAAAAGCACGATGTCCTTAGCCTGGCCTGCCAGACTTTCCCTCTGTTTAATTCTGCACAGAGAAAGAGTCTGGTAACTCACAGGCAGAGAGGCACTTGAGGGGTGGGACTAGACATCTCAAAAATAACCAGTCAGAAAAAAGGTGGAAATGCCCACTGGAAATGTACCGCGCAACGCTGTAGTTTTTTAGCTGTGGTCAAAAATGGCATGTAGGAAAGAGCCGCAGTGAACACCGCTTCATTCGCCATGTTTACGAGAATCCCGCATTGTGGTGTGTGACGTTCGCTGCTCAATGCTGACTAGCTCGGTCAAGGGGTGGGGTTATTTGAATAGGAGAGTTCCCAGCCCCGTGCTTCCCATAAGGAAGCAGTCATTCACCCATTCACACTCACACACACACACACACACACACACACACACACACACACACACACACGCACGCACGCACGCACGCACGCACACACACACACACACACACACACACACACCCTGGTAGTGATGGCCGGTGGAAGGAGCTGTAGAGAAGTAGCCTCGGCTACCCTGGGGCAGACTGACAGAGTAATTGATCAGAGCGTTCATAAGTTCATCAACACTTTTAGAAAAACCTGTTTTATTTGATCATTTTAACGCTTTTGAATATACTGCAGCTGCTTTTGGCATTCCTCAGATTTTATGTGCCACTGTTTGCAGGCCTCCTGAACAGAGTGCACCTTTTATTCAAGAGTTTTCCAACTTTTCAACAATTTTGCACAACTTTTTTGATGCGATTATTTTAGCTGGTGATTTTAATCTGCACATGGATAACCTTTTAGACCCTTTAGCCACAGATGTTTTAAACATCTCGAACAATTTAGATTTTACCCAACATTTCACGCAGCCGACTCACAACAGAGGACACATCCTGGACTAGGTCATCACGTATGGTCTGTCCACTGGTGTGTCCTCTGAGGTCGACCTGGTTGTGTCCAATCATTATTGAGTGTTTTTTAACATCACCAGCGTTATCCAGCGTGGGTCCTCTGTGAGAAATGTAAGGAAGTGTCATCTAAACCCTGAAGTGGCTGCTGGCTTTCTTGAAGCTTTTAACAAGATCCCTCCAAGTAACGTCTCTGCCCCTTGTGATGCCATTATCAATGATTTTAACAGAAGACTTGAGGCAGCTCTCTGCTTGCGTCATTCAAAACCAAAAATATACAGTCAAATCATACCTCACCCTGAGGAAACTGCAGAAAGGCAGAGAGGAGATGGAGGAAAAACAAGATAACAATAAATCATCAGATATATACTACTAAAAACATACAATAATGCTGTAAGAAACTGCATTTTTTGTTCTTTTTTAAAACACAGAAAATATTTCTTTTTTACCTTGCTGGCAGTTTCATTTACCGGCTGTAAACTTCCTCAGAACTGACGCTGATGGTGGCGTCCCTTCCTTTTTTGTTTATACGAAATTGTCAGCAAGGTAAAAAAGAAACCTTTTCTGTGTTTTCAAAAATAACAAAAAATGCAGTTTGAAACTAAACACAGCAAGAACATACCAAAAATGCTGTAAGCAATTCAAGAAATGCATATCTTTTCTAAATTTATTTTGAGCCTGAGAGGGTTAACGGTCTTGGGCCTCCATATCTCTCAGAACTGCTTTAACCGTACGAGCCTGTTATCCTTAAAGTCAGGACACACACTCACGGCGAGGCGTCTTTTCATTAATACGGCCCTACACAACAAGATTTATAAATTTACATTTACATTCACATCGAGAAGAGCCAGCTGAGGTGGCTCGGCATCTGATTAGGATGCCTTCTAGACTCCTGGTATCACTTTACAATAAGGATTACATCAAGATCAAACAGGGATGTTAAATCACTGTGATGTTGCAAATTATCTGCATCCTTCGTGAAGTTTACAATAGTGAGTCTACAGGCACTACATTCATCTGGGATTCATTCCTTCTTGCTTTCATAGATAACTACCTGTTAGTCTCTGAATAAGGCTGCTGGGTGTTTACCAGTAAGTATTGGTTACGTATTAGTCCCTGAAAAAAGGTTGATGAGCGTTTTCACCAGTAATTACTGGTTAACTACCTATTCTACCCTGCTTCAGTACCCATTACCCCCAACGTCGTTCCCTAGTAGCAAAGCACAATTTTGCGTACCTTATTGTAGAGGTTTTCTAGGCATGTCCAACTGGGAGAAGACCTAAAGGGAGAACAAGGACACAATGAAGGGACTATGTCTCTCACCTGGCCAGGGAATGCCTTGGGATTGGGAAGAGCTGGCCCAAGTGGCTGAAGAGAGCGAAGTCTGGGCCTCTCGACTTTGGCTGTTGCCCCCACGACCCAAATCCATGAATATATATATATATGTATATATATATATATATATATATATATATATATATATATATATATATATACAGAGGTGGAAAGAGTACTAAAATGTTGTACTTAAGTACAAGTATAATTACTTTCATGAAATTTTACTCAATTACAAGTAAAATTACCTGCCTCAAAATGTACTCAAGTAAAAGTAAAAAGTAGCTTATTTCAAATGTAGTCAGAGTAAAAGTTACTTAGTTACTTTTTTGACTGTGCAAGGACGGGCTCTTCTGATTAGTTAAAAAAAGACAATGGGGTATAAATGTCAAAGTGGCCGTTTTTTTAATTAAATGAACAAATATGCATATTGAAGTACAAAGGCAGTTACACTGCAAACTAGTAACATAAATTAGGTTATAGTCACAAGCCCATGACTTTTCCCTGAATGTTTATTTAGAGCAGCTGATTTTTAAAGTTAGCAGAGTTAATCTTTGGTAGTGGGTTCACTCACTCATTTAAAGATATCGGCCAGAGGCAAAATTTGTTTGAACAGCATGTGTAAATGTGTATTAAAACCTCAGATGAAAAAGGTTTTTGGATTTTGACGGCTGGAATTGTAAGAAAATCTGATGTTTGTGGCTGGCGCAGGAAAAACAGAAACTAACTTCCGGTCTAAGCCCTGGGCAGCAGTTGGCGTTTCACATGGAGCTCTGCTGAAACAGCTGTAGTAAACAACGCCTGGCTCCGCTGTTTCTGCGTTAGCGTTATAGCAGAGAACAATGTGTCATCAATCAGATGTAGCTTCTGAAGCCTCTACTAGTCCATCAGATTTGTTTTTTCTCTGGGATACGGCGACGAGAACGGATGTTAGATTACTGGAGAAGTTCAACCGAACTCCGACCCCGCCAGCTGGATATCACTACCAGAGGTGCAGACATGTTTTAGACCGTTTGACTCAGAAGACCTGCGACTTGATTTGGACATAGAGGAGGATTCTGTTCATCTTCAGAACTAAAATCGGTACAGTTTGTTTACTTTTCTTAAATATTTCATTTCTGTGCTCCACTGGGAGCTCTAAGCTGACGAGTTTTCAGCTGGTTTTAGCTCCATCATGTGTCCCAATATAGTTCAGTAATCTACAGTTTTACTGCTGTGTGTATTTATTGATATAACTCTGGAAAATATTTAACCGACAATTTACCAGAATAAATCTTCCTGATGCTGAAGTAACTCCTTAGCTCAACTCGTTGTTTGCACTAATCCAGGATGTCATGGAGGTTTTAATGTTGAGAGATCATCTTTTAGATTATATCTGTGTGTGTGTGTGTGTGTGTGTGTGTGTGTGTGTGTGTGTGTGTGTGTGTGTCGTAGCTTTCCCAAAGGACTTGTTCTTTCCTTACCGGAGCGAACACTGTTAGTTTTGCTGCAGTCATGCTAACGGGACTCGTCTGGAGTCCAGAAGTAGCGGTGTGGTTCTAGATGGATATACAAATGAAGGTTATTATTTTTGATCAGACCTGTTATTTAAAAATGCGTGTAGGACACAGACACATGGCTCAGACCTTTTGCTGCAGCTGTAAACGCAATTTTACGTAATAATTAGGAGCATCAAAGTAAACAAATAACAGTGATTCACAATATTAGCATCAGCAGCTAGCTTGTTTTACGTGCTGGAGTGACGTATGCGAAACACAGTTCTTCACTGTCTGGAGGAGAGGATTTGGATTTTTTGTAATGATTTATGACAAAAGTCCTTAATAAAATAAAAAACTGGACCCAGCACATGTTTATATAGATAATAAAGTGTAGTTATTTAGCATTTCTACAATTTTAATGCCGAGCCAATACCTTTAACCCTTCACCACTGAAACCAGTTTGTTCATCCCAATCCTCCTAAATAATCTTCCAATATAAATAATCTTCCATATCTGTGGCATCAAGAAGCATCTTCTGAGTTCAAACACAGGGATGGAGCACAATGTTTACACCTGAACAGTATCAGGATTAACTCACAGAGGCCTGCAGGTCTTCTGTTTTATGAGCAGAGCGCTGATAATCGGCTTCTTAGGAGCGCTAAACGTAATTTTGCCGCTTCCGTGCACGGTAAGGAAACACATTTCAAACACGGAACCAAGTCTGGTTACCGAACCGAGCAGAATTCTGATGACGTCACACCGGTGTGCGAAGGTGCGGGTTCCAACCCACAGGAGAGGAGGGAGAGAGGAGGTAAACAGCGAGTGGATCACAGGGACTGATCTGATGTTTTTGAGCAAAACTGCGGTAAAAATGGCTGTTTGTCCTCATCATAAAGCATGTACCCCCCCCCCGGTTTAGACGTGGCGCTCATGCATCTCTTTTTGTGCCGACGCTGCTACACGTAATATTTTTAATTTATTAAGCCTACAATTTATTTTTACTCAGTAACGGATATGATTTAAAATGTAGCGAATTACAATTCTTTTTTAAAAACTTACTCAAGTAAAAGTAAAAGTACAGATTTTAAAAACGACTTAAAAAGAATAAATTTACAAAAAAGCTACTCAATTATAGTAACGTGAGTAAATGTAATTCGTTACTTTCCACCTCTGTGTATATATATATATATATATATATATATATATATATATATTGCACAACAGAAAGGAATGGTTATTATAGTGCTAAGTAAGCATTTTATTTACAAAACTCCCCAGAACAGCTGTTCTGTAGTCTAAGCCTGTAGCAGCATAACAACAAAGATAAATCTGGATAATCTAGCCTTTTAGATGGAGATAAGGCCAGGAAGAAAAATCTTTACTGACTGTGTCTTCTGTTATATTCTCCAGCTCCTCCACTCATCCAAACCTGGGCTAACATCAGTCAGCACTCTTATCAAATAAAATAATTTTAAGCATAAGGGACAGCAGTAGCTCAGGAGGTTGAGTGTGTCCAGTAATCGGATGGTTGCAAGTTCGATCCCAGCTCTGACCAGAGAATGTTGCTATTGTGTTCTTGGACAAGACACTTAACCCACCTTGCCTGCTGGTGTTGGTCTGAGGGACCAGTGGACCGCAGGGCAGCTGTAGCTACATTGTAGCTCATCACCATCAGCGTGTGAACGTGTGTGACTGATTGATTCTTGGGGGGTTGTAGAACCCTAAGGCGTTATACAAATACAGGCTGTTTATCATTTACCATTTAAGCCTAGTCTTAAAAGTAGATGAGGTATCTCTCCTAACAAAATACAGACAGAAAAAGAACAGATTAATTTTTAAACATTCAAAGTGTATAAAGAAGCACTAAAGACCCACATAGTAGTGTAATGATCCAGTGGTCATATTTTCACCAACAAATTGACCAGAGGTTAACCTTTCATTTGCAGACACAAAAACACCATCTGTCTGGCTTCCAAATCCAAAACAAAGCTCTGCCCCAGTTCTTGGTACTGGAAAGAAGCCACTACATCTTTGCTCAAGGCCTCAAGCAGAAGTCAGACTACTGCAACCTCATTCTAAATAAAAGTCCACCTACTCGAAGTTCCTACTGACTTCACAACTTATAACTTGAAATAATCATATATGTTGAATGAAAATGATGTTTAAAACTGAGAAGGATAGCTTCCAGTCAGGTTTTTGTAGAGCTCATTCTACTGAAACGGCTCTTCTTAGGGTCTCTAATGACCTTCTGACTCACAGTGATGCAGGGGACTGTTCTGTTCTGGTCTTGCTGGACCTGGCTGCAGCCTTTGACACAGTAGACCATCACCTGGTACAGGAGAGGCTGAGAGACTGGGTAGGCCTACCAGGAACTGCTCTGGAGTGGTTCTCCTCTTATCTTTCTGAGCGCTCCTTTTCTGTGGCTGTCTCCAAGTTTAGGTTCTCCACCACCTCCCTTACCCATGGTGTCCCACAAGGTTCTGTGCTGGGACCTCTGCTCTTCCTCCTTTATCTGCTCCCTCTTCAGCACATCCTGAGCTCCTTCAAAGGAATCTCCTACCATCTTTATACAGATGACATCCAACTGTACATCTCCTTTAAGCCCCATGAGATGTCTAAGCTGAAGAAGAAGAAGAAGAAGAAGAAGAAAATATCATTTCTATAGCACCTCTCAAGACAAAAATCACGAGGCGCTTCACAAAAACAAAAACTGTAATATTATATAAAAAGAATTTAGAAAATGGTTAAAAATATATTTAAGATGAGCAAAAAATAGACAGTTGTGGTTACAAAATGTTAAGAAAGAGAGAGAGTGAATAGGAAAGAGGGAAATCAGTGGATCCTGAAGAAGGTGGAATAGGTGGGGAGAGCAGAATAAGAGAGTGAAGAAGGTCATACAAAAGCCACTTTGAACAAGTGAGTTTTGAGCTGCTTTTTAAAGGAGACCACTGAGTCCACTGATCTCAGGCTCAGGGGGAGAGAGTTCCAGAGTCAGGGGGCCACAGCAGCAAATGATCTGTCACCTTTGGTCTTAAGCCTGGTGCGATGCACAACCAGTAGACTTTGATCACTGGACCTTAGGGACCTGCTGGGGGGTGTAGGGACTAAGAAGATCACCAATGCAAGATAGTGCATGTCCATGTAAGGCCCTATAGACCAAAACCAGGATCTTGACCCCACTGCCACTCCACCACCTTTTCTTTTCCCGCTACTCTTCAGATCTCTGTCTGCTCGTACAGTCAGGAATCCTGGCAGAGAGACGCTTGAATCGGGGATATGGTCCTGCAGCCACGTCTCAGTGAAACACATAACACTGCACTGCCGATACTCTGGCTGAGTCCTTGAAAGGGCTTGGAGTTCATCCATCTTGTTAGCCAGTGATCTGACATTGCCCATTATGATCGATGGAAGAGATGGTTTGAATTTCCTCTTTCTCTGTCTCCGTTTTGCTCCCGCTCTGCACCCACGCTTCTTGCGTTTTAGCTCATTTGGGATTTGTGGCTTCAGTTGAGGTATCATTTCAGCCTTCCCAATGTTAATCAACTGCTCCTGATTGTAAACCAGCTTGTTGCCATGGTTATGCATCATAACAAATACTCAAAAGTGAAAAAATATGTCTATGTTTATGTTTATTTATGTTTATTTATTTGGCAGACGCTTTTATCCAAAGCGACTTACAATTTATAACCTATAGGGCATGTGTTTACATGTAAATAGCAGTAAAAATCCTCTAAGCTTCACAGCACCAGAAACAGAAAAGTAAAATGTCCAAAAATATACAATTTTTCTTGAGAAACTAGAAGAAAAATGTCCAAAAAAAGGCAAAACTTACATATAGTCAACCTAGTTACTCCAACATGCAGCCACCCAGAGCAGCGCAGTTCCGGAGTAAAATCTGCCTTTTGCCTAGAAAAGAAGTCTATCCTTGACTGTTCATCAAAGTACAAAAAAATTTATTTACACAATCATCTACTTAAAATAAAAAAGAAACACTTTATACATAGTTATCATACATTTTTATTTTAATATTGGGCCAGATTAAAGAGTTAACTGTCCCGTACATGATTCAGAATGCAGGATCAAATGGGTAAAAATCAGTTTAACAGCTCGTCTAAACCATGGGTAGAATAGAACATAAATTATTGGATTCAAACAAGAGTTGGAATAAAGCAACCAGCTTGCAAAGACTGAAAATGTCTCCGTAGAAAACAAATCATGGCCTGCAAGGGAGGGATAAAAATAAGGACAGTAACATATTAGAAACACCAGCACAACAACACCGAGAGCTGTAGCTGCTTTTCTCTCTGACTTCTTAGCAGTTACAGGAACTGAACCCCTCAGAGTGACAGATGCAATATGAGACCTCATGGCTCGAGCCTGAGACACCGCTACCACAAATACTCTCATGTACAGAACTATGATGACTGTGATGGGGCCAATAAAGGTTATCATGACATCAAAAACTCCTGTTAAAAACTCAGTTACAAGAACACACTCCCCAACACAGGAGTTATATCTATCTGGATGTTTAAGAAAATCTTTTAGTATCATTCCATTATAACACACAGAGCAAATCCATGACACACACACACAGATTTGTACTCTCATATTAGTGACTTTAGTTTGATAATGCAGAGGGTCACAAATAGCCACATATCGGTCAGCTGATATGAGCACCATGTTTCCTACTGAGGCAGAGGTGAGAGTATAAGAAAATAAGTGAAACACTCCACACATAAAACTACCCAGAACCCAACAGCCTCCCATCAAAATGATTCGAATTGGCATCAGCAGGAGTCCAACCAAGAAGTCTGAGACAGCCAGAGACAGAAGAAAGAGGTTGGTGGGGGTGTGGAGCTGCCTGGAAGGATAAAAAAGCAAAATATTTCAAAGTTAACAATTTTCAAGGACCTTAGGTGTAATGGTCAGGAAAGAAAATGTAATATATCTTCAATAATTCATTGTTGTTCTGCAGCAGAAGCACTGTGATAGTTAAGTTAGCAATAAACACAAAATTAGGTAATAACTGTACCTGAAGTGGGAGATCGAGATGATAACCAGCAGGTTGAGAGCTACAGTGAACAAAGATATGCAGGACAGCAGCAAATTGATAAACATGTTCTCAGCATGTTGCTGCAGTGGCTTCCTGCAGGAAGTGTTAGGTAGTTGTGGGAAACAGAGTTCAACATCAGGTAGAGTATTCATAATCAGGGAGCAAGGCAAATGAGAGGCTGCTGAATCCTCACTGCTGTCTGATTAAAGTTATTGATGAAAGTGCTGAGTCATCCTTTCCTCTCCTCCCACTCCAACCACACAAAATAAAGTTGACACCAAAAAAATATCAAGTGTTTTCATCATACAGATGGATGTTTTTTTAAGTTAAAGTCCCATTAGTCATCATCATACACTGATGAAACTACACCCCCGCATTTTGACCCATGGAAAGATGAGCTGCAGTACTGGCTGTGCTCAAGAACGATTTGGTGGTTTAACCCCCCAATCCAACCTCGTAATGCTGAGTGTCAAACGGAGTCCCAATTTTAAAGTATTTGGATTGACCTGAGCTAGTCAAGCTACTTAATGTCATTTTAGCTGCACACATTCTCTTTTACTGCTGGTGTGAATGACATCTCAAGAAGAGTCTCTGAAGCTTATTTTCAGGAACTAGATCTTCTCCTTGTAAAAAAAAAAAAAGATAGCTTTTTTGATTTGAACTAAATTAGCTAACCATTCCTGCTATCAGTGATTTCATTTTAATAGATGGCTCCATGATGTCTTTCACATCATTTTTAGAATGCCTTTTTATTGTCACTATTCGCAACAGTTTCAGGTTGCAACTGTAAGTTCTATGGCTCTTTTTTAATTTTTTTTGCATATTTCCATATTTGTTACATTCATTGATATCCTCTTAAATTTGAAAATTTCATTTTTCCAACATGTTGGAAAAAGCAGATAAATTATGGAGTTAGGTTTGGGACAATAATACATGTAACTTGTAACTGTCACGTTCTGCCCCTGCCCTCCTGACTGTGTTTCTCTCCTGCCCTGATTAGTCCGTATTGTTCTCACCTGTCCCTCGTTAACCTGCCCATGTTTCCCTAATTAGCCTTCTGTATTTATACCACCTTTTTTGCTCCTGTCCTTTGTCAGATCATTGTTGTTAGTAGTCATCGTTTTGTCCTGTTCATCCCATCCTGCCATTAAAACCATTTTTACTTTATCCGAAGCCTGCATTTTTACCTCCTGGTCAGCTCATCCACACATGGTCCGCCGTCTCCACCTCGTTCAACGTGACAGAATGATCTGACCAAACCTGGACCTGTGGTGAGCTAACACCTGTTTGCTGGAGGATTTATTTTTTACTTTTTTCTCCTTTAGCGGAAGGAGATTCTGGCCCAGGGTGTTGGCGCATCCTACCTGTTCTCTGGGGTGGTCAAGCCTTTGGGTGGGTTTCGGCGCATCCAGTTCGTTTCCTGTGGTGGTCAAACCCTTCTCCTCTCCTGCTTTCTGCCCCCGTCCCGTTTTTGTCATGGAAGCCGCGGATCCTGGAGCTCTAAGGGAGTTACACCCCCTATGCACGCCATCGTTCTCCGGGGTGGTAGGGCTGGTCTCCCCGCTCTTCTCCTGCTTCCCAGCACCCAAGCCTCTGCCTGAGATCCAGCTAATCGTGCTGTGCACCTGCTCTGATGGGCTGTCGAATGCCTGCCGCCGATCCTGGTTTCCTCGCGTTGCTTTTACAGATTGTCCACTTCCTGGTCCACGCTGTGGGGCTTATGCCTGCAGGTCTCATGCTGCTGCAGCCTCTGCTGGGTCCCACGCCTGCTCCTGCAGTTCTCTGCCTGGGTTCCACGCCTGCTCTTGCAGTTTTCTGCTGGGTTCCCCGCCTGCTCAAGTCAAGTCTTCACGTTCCAGTCAAGTCAAGTCTTCCCGTTCCTGTCAAGTCTTCCCGTTCCTGTCAAGTCTTCCCGTTCCAGTCATGTCAAGTCTTCACGTTCCAGTCAAGTCAAGTCTTCACGTTCCAGTCAAGTTAAGTTGTTGCAAGTCCGAGCAATCGGTCAAGGCTTAGAAACAGTGGTCAGAGACAAGGGTCACACAAGGGTCAAGAGGACAATAGTTCAGGACTTGCTGGTGAGGACAGAACTAGGCAAAGGGTCAAAAGACAGGCTGTCTTCTCTGGATCCACCCATGGACACACCCCTGGGCCCGCCCCTAACTCCACCTCTGGCGGGAAAAGAAGGACTGGCATGGAGTGAGGAAAGTCCAACTGGACCCAGAAGCTCTCAGGAATGCTGGAGGAAGATCTACAATTTGCTACCAACATGAAGATTTATGACCTGTGCTCTCATTCCAGGAGTGCAGCATGTAACTTTTGTGCCCTCATGTGAATACTGCATGTAGTGAAAATGATACCAAATGTCTTATGTAGAGCTAAAAAAGTGTATCTGGTAAATGACCCCTTGACCTAAACTGTCAGGAGAGAATGACTTGTGACTCTTACATTGTTTAGAGCAGTCTCAGAAATGATATAAAAGGATGCAGCTCAGATCGAGCAGGGCTTCGTTCTTGGGGAGATTCTGAGAAGACAAGAGCTAGTGTAAACTAACTCTTATTTAATCATTTTGAACTAATTCCTCCGTGGGGGATAGCAGTTGTTTTTCACTTTACCCATTTTTTGTATTTTGATTTTGTAATAAAACTTTTTTGAAAAAGAAACATAATCCTGATTCTTTCAGGTTTTCTCTAAAGCTTCACGTTTGGGGCCCTGGCCATAATTGCACAGAGGTAAGCATGTCGAAGATCGGTCTCTGAATTATCAGGACTTACTTTACAGTTTATAACAGAATAATATAAAGAAACCTTAAGATAAGGGAAGTTTTAACTTTCCCCTCCTTGCGAGTAACGAGTTGTCTTAAGGGCGATAAAAGCAAAATATTCGAGGTTATTTTGGCTCTGATTGCAGGTTGAAAAAGTCTCTAATCAGCTGGAAGGTTGGATTAATAAATAAATTGATAAAATTATGATAGCCTGATCAACTAGCATAAATCATTTTATAGTTACCAACCTCCCACATAAGCTGTTAGAGGCGCAATTGATTCCGGGTAATCCAAACAATTGCTGAGAGGCTTGGCTTGCCTCCAGACTTCTCTCTAGTATCTTAACCAAAAGGTAACGAGTTTAAAAGAAGTGTAGTACTCTGGGGCTGGCTATTCGTGCAAGTCATTTCACCTTTAAAATAAAAGACAAGATTCTAATTAGGTAGTCCAAACCCGGGTCTGGTACGATTATACTCGTCGACACACCCCCGAACCCTGATGGATGCACCGTCTCATTAGTTCTAACGGAACTGGGTTTTAAAGGAACCGGTAAATGGGACGGGCACGCGACATGGCGCCTGCAACGTGGGGCTAATCGGCGAAGGTTCAAATATTAGATACCGGACTATTCGACGTAGAACTATGTCTTTTAGGCTGATAAAAGCTTACGCACCATGGACCTGATACGCTTATAACCTTGGAGTGAAAACCGCACCAATTTCTCGAAAAGGAAAGAAATTTGGGAGAACGGACGATTAACTCAAAGAGGTATAAAGAAATCACGGCTTTCCGACGTAAGAAAAGCCAAGGATAAAAGCTAGGCAAAAAATAAAAAGGAATAAAGAGTAAGAATAAAGAATAAGACGTGAAAACGAATAAAAATAAAATAAATAATAAAAAAGAGAAACTTTCAACCAGCCATGGCAGATAGATCTTTAACGGTAAAACCGGAAAATGTTCTCCTTAATGTGAGATTTGTCACCGGAGAAATAGCGACATTTCAAGGTGAACCACAAAGCGTTTTAGCAATATCCTGTAACCGGAGCTTTCAGAACGAGGCCGGAACGGCTCAAGCCGCAGCGGAGCGCTGTCCGAATGCTGAAACTCAAGTAAAGGATAATCATGTATTTCCGTTAGTGGGTGATTTGGTGATTCTAGCAGAACAACAAAATGATCCTGTTTCTAATCAGATAGCGTGGTGTTGTTGGGAAAATCCAGCGAAACTCCCCACGGGCGAGCAGTATGAGATCCTTCTGGGATTGCGTGAGCAAATACCAACTGGACCGGAACCTTTAGTTCTCACTCCATTTGGAGTCGGGCAGTACCGATGTGATCAGGGAGCGATGTACTCTGCTATGGCGGAGTTCGTGGTTCAACGGGCTAATAGTAGAACAATTTACTTCTTATCTAGAAGCAAAAATGAGGCAATTCAAATGAGACAGGCGTTATGTAACCGACTGGGGATCACGGAGCTCCAAGCGGAAATGTACCGGAGACGAGCTGCAGTTGAAATGTCGGCCTCCTGGGATGAAGTCCAATCGGTTCCGACCGCGCCCCCTTTGTATCCAGCGCTCCGCGGGGAATTCCCTGTGAGCCCCGGTTCCGAGAGCGGATTTCCTCCACCCCCACCGAACCCGCCTGACGCGGTTCGGCCGGCGCAGTGGAACCCGTTTCTACATGTACAAACCCCTTCTCAGGTGCCCATGAGAGGAGCGGAGAGACCGCCCACTGAACAGCATGTTGCTGCGTGGGACAAAGACGAGACTCAGAGACGGTCAGGGGCTGAAAAGACTCCAAACCCAATTCCTTTTCCCCCGTTAGAACCGCATAGTCCCGCGGCTCCTCCGAATCATGTTACGATAGGTCAAGAACCGGTGATAATTTTGTCAGGCGAGAAAATAGATGCGGAGATCCGAGAAGAAGATGTGTTGATCTTTCTGAAAGATCCACAAAGTTCTGCCAGTACTACGTCCTCTTTAAGTTCTCTGAGGAGACTTTTAGGGGCAGAAAGCAGAAGCTCTATGATCTCGCTGGTAGATCGTAATTACGAAGCAGGAGAAATTACTACTCTCTTAGACAAGCAATTAGGGAATCTGGAAGGTCGTGTCAGCGCGATTTCCATAATTAACGTAGACCCTCATAATCCTGACATCTCTTTTCACCAAGCTTGGGAGCGGGTGGTGTCAGAAGCCTTGGATTTAGGAGCGCGACGGCTAGTGTTTAAGCTTAATAACAAACCCCAGGTGTGTCGGATAACTGAAGCATATGGCGCAGGTTTAGTGATTTATTCCGAAGCCTCTAGCAGGCTAGGAGACATCCCGGTCGTAATTTTAGTGGATAAGTCAACCTTGCCGCGAGTAGAGAAGAAAGTCAAACATTGGTTTGAGGCCAGAGACAGAAGCAGCGAGAGTGAGGCTGAATCGGAGGAAGAACAGGGTTCCCAACTGGTGGTGCGTGGCACACCCAAAGGGACGCTCAGGTCAGAATGCGGATCCCAACAAAAATGCAGCACTCGGATCCCTGGAGGCAAAA